GGGGGGGGGGGGGGGGGGGGGGGGGGGGGACGGCAGGACACACGCACACATGGAAAGACACAAGTGAAGAGGGAGAAGCAGGGAAGACAGGGAGTTGTCACACTATAGTTTCTGCTCTGGAAAAGGAAAAAGGAAATGGTTCAGACATCAGAAACATGCAAAATCAAAAGACACTGCCCACCACTGCTCCCCAAGAGCCTTTGACAAGAATTATCATTTTAAGCAAACCAGGACCCTGCCTTAAGCCAAGGACAACACAGGGCCAGCCAGTTCCCTGCACTGAAACGCCCTGCTCCACAGGCACAGGCAGGAAACAGGGCCAAGCTGAGCACTGAGTCAGAACAAGGTCTTGGCACAAATTAGCAACTCCAGGGACTCAAAACCAGCTCCCCCATCATCACTCTGACCCCAGCACATTTGCTGGGCCAGGGCACGTCCTTCCAGAGGACACAGCAAAGGGCAAAAAGCTGCAAGTCTACCCACATTTCCTGTCTGGCCTTCCACTTCAGCCCTTCCCTATCCAGTCATGCTTTTTCTGGTCAGCCAAGACCAAGAACAAAATTTAGAAAGACCCCAAAAAAGACAATTCCTCAAAGGTTAAATCTATTCACTTTAAAAATTAGATGAAGAGAAACAACCTACCCTATGGCTAAAGAACAGACTGAATATCCCATAAGGCCCACTACAGCCCTAATTCTGTGTGAGCCAGGCACAGAGATGATGGCAGGAGAGAGACTAGGTATCAGCAGTCCTGAATCCCCTGCCCCACCTCCTCCCTGTCCCTGCATTTAAGGAGAATTTAGGGTAGAGTGCACATAAAGGAAGAAGGCTAGCACTGCTGGCCACCAATTCCCTAGAAGGACAAGGGGTTCCAGCGGGAAGGAGACAAGTCTCCCCAGGGCTGCACTGCTCAAAGGCAGGTCCCTCCCACACAACAGTCAGCTTGGAATGCAAGGGTGACATGCCCAGACAGAGTGACACACAGATGGGTAAAATCATGGAGCTAACTCGGGTCTCCAGGAATGTTCTCAAGCCCAACAGCTGCTTCTCACTAACCCACCCCTCCCCTCCCCTGCAGCACCTCTACAAAGCACATGCCAGGCTTGGTTTTTGTCCCATGTGGAGAGAGAATGAATTTGCAGAAATAGCACATAGAAAAGTCCCATGAGTCCAGCAGGAGAGTGACGTGCCAGTGGGTGGCATGTGGCGACAGCAGATCTGAAATGAGAAAGCGGCCACGTGCCCAGGCAGCACTGAGGAAGGCAGGGGGTGGCAGAACCAGCCCTAAGAAACCACAGAGAGGGCCACCATCACTGCAGGGATTGTCCCCTTTTCATGGAAGGGTCCCAGTACAAGAAAGAAAGGGAGAATGTTCTGTTTGACCCACACTGTGATGATGTTTGAATTAGACATCAAGATTCACTTTATTTCCAAGGACATCATCACTACTCAAAACTTGGCCCTAATTTCCACGCGTCTTCTCACACTCCCTCCTTCAAGGCCTCCCAAGCATCACTGCATCCCTAGGACTGAGTTCCACTTGCTGGGCTACTGACTGCATCAGCCTGGTATCACCAGCTCATGAGGACATGACCTCACCAGACCCACTCAGAGACCCTGACCAGTCCTCACAGAAAACACAGGGAAACAGAACAACACCGACTGTCACAGCAGAAGCAGACTTCTGATCTACCCCACAGATCTCTATCACCTCCTAACGGGCCGTCTGGTATCTTACCTGTACTACCTCTCATCTTCACAACAAAGAACCTGGCACTGGTAATCATTAGACAATCTTCTAACACGGAAATGAGGTTAAAACACGATTTGTCCGAGGTCATACATCTTGTAAGTGGTGAAACCAGGATCTCAGCCCAGTTCACCTGACTCCAAATTTTATTTTTCTCAATGCATCATCCTGAGCCTCTAATTTGGCAAGCTAATGTGGACATGGAGCAGAACAACCAGAGTAAGACCTGGGCTTATGGATTAAGGCAACAAGCCAAGTCCTGTGGCAGAAGCATGGGGGGTTGCCAGGCTCAAGCTTCAATAATCTATCCAAAAAGACCATGTAACTCTTACCTGACCACAGTCATGACACTAAAACAGGCCTGTCTCCCCACACTACCCAGAAAGAAACCCAAGCCTAGGGTGTCACAAAGCTAGCTGGGTGCTCTGCTGGGACTAAATATAGGCCACCCCTTCCCATTCTTCCTTCCATCACAAAATACTCCCTGTCCCCCACCCCCTCCTGGGAGCACAAATGTATCTCCAACCAACAAAGTGTGGACCATGTCACCGCTTAGACAGGCAAAACTCAGCACTTGCTTCTGTCTGTTCTATTGGTTCCATGAACAGCTCTGGCAATGACAACTCAACTGGATAAACTACAGATTTGTTTCATGAATCTAAAAGGGCAGATTACCCAGACGGCAAGGTCAGAAGGCTCTGGGCTGGAGCTTACAAAATTTGGATGTGCCAGTGATTTGCTCTGTGACTACGAACTAACCTCAGTATTTTATGTGTCTCCCTCTCTCTTTCACACAGAAAAGTCTCAAAGCTTAAGTCACCTTTCCTCCCTCCATTTAGCCACCACCCCCACCCCACTGCCCTTGCTGGGTTAATGCCCTTTTCACCTCTCCCCACTTCTGTATTTCCTCTCCCACCACCTAACGGCGGCCCTACCTCTAGTCCAGATCAGCAAAACAGTCTCCAAACAGCCAAACCCAGCTACAGTCTTCACTCACATATCCTCCGTCAGAATAGTCATCCAACACAGAGCAGTGGCCTTTTCACCTGCCCTGCTCAAAACCCCGTGGTAGCTCTCCCCTGCCTACCACCAGCCAAACTCGAAGTCTCGGTCCCCACAACCTGGCCCCAAGCTACTCTCCAACGTGTCTTTGTACAACCCTCTATATACTCCAGCCACCTGCCACTCTCGTGACAAGCCATTATCTGTTTTTATCTTTCTTCATTTGAGCTGTGCACCTTCATGAGCTGCTGTGTCATCACCCTACCCCATCACATCTAAGTCCTGACCTCTCTTCCTCCATGAAGTCTCCTGACGTCTCTCAGTGGAAGCAAACTCTCTGCTCAATGTCCTGGAGAGTTTAATTCACAGGTTCAGCTCCCCAACCCATGGGCATTTCTGCACCTTCAGCACCACCAGGCATGGGGCCTCAGCACAGCCCCACACTCCACAGGCCTGCAGGAGGAAGAGCCCTGAGCTGGCTAGAGAGAGTGACAAAGCCTCCATGAAGCTTTCTGGAAAATAAAGGGCTAGAGAAGCAGTTTGCTAGGACAAGCTGCCCAGTGCTACAGGCACGGTTGGATCCTATCCCCAGAAGTCCTACAGTGAGTTCCCCAAAATCAAGGTATCTTGATATTGATGACTTTTAGAAAAATCACAAGGAACTGAGCATTTCACCAAACTTTTCCCAGCAAAACCAGAACGTCACCTTCTTATTTCATCTCAGTGACCTCAGGAGTCTTTCCTTATGTGCAACAGTAAGTGACTAATCCCTTCTCAAATGTCACCAAACATTTGGGCAGCAGGATATCCTGGGGCCAAACTGACAGGCCACAACACAGCTGCCCTGGGAAAGTCAAAGCTCCCAGCCCCCCACCCCCAAGGTGGCTGCCAACAGGGCCACCTGAGGCTTCTAGAACGCACCTCTGCGGGAGAGCCGGGTGTCCGCGTCTGTATCCACAAAAAGCTTCATCTGAAACAGGTCTCGTACCTCCTGGGAGTAGAAGGCCAGGATCCCTTCAAAGAGCACCACGTCTGCGGGATAGACAGTAACTGTCTCCTCCTTCCTGCAAAGCACAGGACTGATGTTAGCGAGGAAGAGGGGACCAGGAGCCAGAGCCTCTGGTGGGGCTGTCAGTTCTGGTTCCTTCTCCCTCAGACTTCAAGCAGGGGCAAAAGACTTGGCCTGCACAGCCTTACAGAGCCTTTGGCCCAGCACCAAAAAGCCAGAAGAGGGGCAAAGATGGCTGGGACAAAGGTCTCCCATGCTAGTTCTTCTGAGCCTTCACTATAAACCAGAAATAGAGGGCAGACATCCTCCTTGGAATAAAAAACCTACTATTGAATGAAGAATAAAGAGACAAAAGCAGATGTGATTTCTTTTCTCTCCTAAGGTGTCTCCAGTAATGCTCTCATGCCTGGCATTTATGGAACCTAACACTCTGAACTTTAAAAAACAGCAACTCACAGTTTTCTCTCAACAATCGCATCCCCCACCCCCCAGTCCTGAGGCAACTGAAAGGAGAGAGAAAAGGATAGAGGAGGAGAGAGAGTGAGGGGAGAAAAAGTTTTGGAAAAGAGGATATAGAAGAGAAAGCATTTGCATGGAAGTAGGGTCCCGAGTTCTGTCTGGTCTGGTGCCACCACAAGCTAGTATGGTGGCCACAGGTCAGCACCTAGCTCCCTAGGAGTCCCCTTCCTTACCAATCAAGCAGAGATACACATTATGTCATCCACCTACCTCACAGGGTTGGGGTGCCCAGGGCAGATGTTAGTGCTGGGCCTCTTTCAGCTCTGCCCTGCCCCGACTTTCCCTGTATTCTTAGCCTTTGATTCCACCCTATAACTACCTTATCGGTGATCCTGTCACCCACTGCCTCCAACTCAAAATTTATTGAAAGGGAAGTAATGATCACTGCAAGGTTTATGACTCACCCTGACTAGCAGATTAGCAAATATTTGTGAATAAAACCAAATAAAATAAATTTTTGAAAAGCTCCTTAATACAATAGTTCTATCTGTACAAACATAGGGAGGGTCAGTAGTAATTGCCAACTAGAAAGGATGCCGTTATTTTTTCCCTCTCATAAATACTCTCTGGTTCCTTATTAGATCAGACCTTTGGGGTTGTACCTGATTTAAGGCAAGCACTGCTGGGATAACCACCAAGTGGCCGAACGCAGGGTGTGCAAGACAGCAGAAAAGGGCCAGGTTAGTAAGATTAGGAGGTTCTCTAGTTCCATAGTATAGCTTGAATGCATATTAGAATCATCTGGGGAGCTTTCAAAAATATTTATTGGACCCTCCCTCCCCCGAGGGGCTCTGATTTAATTAATCTGGGGTGGTGCTAGAGCATCAACACTGTTTAAAAGCTCCCCAGATATTTCTAAGTGTAGCCAGGGTTGAGAAGCACCAGCCTATGGGAATGTCAGCTGCCAGAAAATAGGGTATGCTTTTGTGGTTTAGGATAAAGAAACAACCAGGAAGAGCTCAGAAGGGAAGTGGATAGAAAACACAATCAATGGCTGAGTGAAAGAATGAGCCACTCTAGGCAAATGCCCTACCTACACGGAGGAGAAGGTGGGAGGGCTCTGTTGGGAAACAAAGAGAGTGTGTTTGTGGGATTCCTAGCATTCCATCTGAAAAACACACTGACTGTGCTAGGTTTACATGTACTGACACTACATCAAGTGCTTATCAGGATGACTAAAACTCATAAATACTGAAAAGAAATAAGTGGTATTCCAGGAAGGAGAAAAGAACTGCCTGCTTTGTTACTGATGCCCTAAGAAGTTGGAATTAATCACTTCCCAAGTCCACATGTGGTTTTAAGTGGGAGCAATTTTCAAAACAGCTCAGAGCTAAAAAACATTTATTGAGCAACTACTAGCCCAGACTGTGCACGGAACCATACTTGGCATAATACACCATTTAGGAGTTTAGAGTCGAGCTGGGAAGTACCAAAAAGAAACCTAGATTATTAAGTCATATGATATAACTTAACCCCATTGTCTCATTTGGTTTATGGGGAAAGAGAAGACCAGAGAAGGGTATTTGCAGCAAATAGGTGTCTTCTTAATCTTAGTCCAACAAGTTTTCATACATTATCAAAGGCCCATGGGTGGGATGGGATCAGTTAACTCTGGACAACTAGATGTCTAACAAGTGGCCCTTCAGATTTGGGAGGGAGGGTTGCTGTGACCTAGGGTGGTCAGGAAAAATTTCACAGGAGAGGCTCTGGGCCAATAAAGAATAAGGTTTTAAAATATAAGGTATGAGACACAGCAGGAGAAAAAGTGGAAATATTATCAGTACTGGGAATGCTGCTGGGGTGTTCTTTGGTTTATACGTAAACTTGATGGAACTCATCCGCATAAGGTATTCAACCTCCCCTCCCTCATTCCTGACTCCACACTGGCCAAGCCTGACTCTGTCCGCAACCCTCACTTCTACCACCTTATGTCAGGCCCTCATCAGCCTCTCACCTAGGCTACTCCAAAGGCTTCTTCATAAAAGAGCTGTGGATCCTCTCTTCCTGCCACCAGAATGATCTTCCTACTCCTGTGTTTAAGCCATCTGTAGCTCCCCCACTGGCAACACGTTTGTGCCCTAGTCCTGACATCTATTGCCCTTCATGATGAGGCCTGCCTACCTTCCCAGCCTCCTTCTCCTGTTGCTGCCTACATACACCGACCCCATCCCTCCACACCTATCTGACTGCAGCTCCCCGAGAAGCCTGTCCATGCCTATCCTTGAAATGCCTCCCTATCCATCACCTTGAAAATCCCTTTCCCCAACAACTTCCTTTTTTTTTTTTTAAAGATGACCGGTAAGGGGATCTTAACCCTTGACTTGGTGTTGTGAGCACCACGCTCTCCCAAGTGAGCTAACTGGCCATCCCTATATAGGGATCTGAACCCATGGCCTTGGTGTTATCAACACCACACTCTCCCAAGTGAGGCATGGGCTGGCCCTCTGCAACAACTTCTTATCCTTTCCAATACACAGCTTCAACATCACCTCCTCTGTACAACCTGCCCTAAATACTCCAGCCTCCTTCCCTGCTTTATACTCTTCCATGGGCCCTTGCCTTAGTTGTCATGCTGTATTTTAATTCTTTAGCTGGTGCTCACCCAGATCTTGGGATGTGGTGGGCCAGACTGTCTCTTGTCAACTTGACAACACCACCACTTCCCTCTGAGGCAAGACTACAATTCCCAGGATCCCATTCCCTATATGGTTCCAGGTTACTTTGCCAATGAAAGACTTAAGGGTCAAAGTGAAGCAACATCCATCATGTTCAGGAGATAGTAACAATGAGACAAGGAACTTTGCAAACATTTCGCAAGCTCCCATATTGAGGCTGTGGGCTCAGACGTGATCGTTTCTTGGACTTTTCCATGAACTCCAGCTTCTGCTCTGGGCCTTGGGCTAGAGTCAGTGGGGACTATTGTCTCTGATTTTCTGGTTTCAGCCTTACAGGTCTTCGCTCTATCAGCCCCCAACATTCGTGTTAGCCCCAATTCCTATACTAAGCCTCTTTATTCTTGCATGATATGTAGTGGTTTGTTTAGGAAAACAGACTGACACAGGAGGTGTGGTGTACAGAATCTTGATCTTTGACTCTCCTGCACAGTAGAATCTGGCCCAGGATAGAAGTGCTTCAGAAGATACTGGTGAGGGGTGAAGGTTAGTACTAGGGCGTCTCTGAATTTCAGTGAGTGCCTCCCACCCACCCTAGCTTCATCCCCCAACCAAATAATTCCCACATCCTCAAGTTCTGGCTCATAAGAAAGACACAGAATGTACATGTGCTGCATTAAAGGCTGACAGAGATGTGTACTGAAAGAGAAGGCAGGGAGATAATGATTGGGTTTGTAATTATAGGAACATCTAGTAATAAAAAGCATGTATGAGATCTAATTCCCCATTTTAAAAAAAATTTCAACTCAGCAAAAAATGGGATAAAGGAACTGGGAAGGAAGAATGAAAAGCAGATGGAAGAAACATTCAAAAGAACCTATAGGTAAGAACAACATTTACTACCCCAGAATATGAAAGGCATCACACTTGGTGTGATATACCATTTAGGAGTTCTGTGTTTGGCTACAGAGTCCCAAGGGATTTTATGTTAAAACGAAGACAGAGGGAGTAGAGAGCTCTGCATAGCCTTGAAGGAGCATGGGGGTCTGGCCAGCAGGAGTGCAGTCCTCCAGGAGCCCAGTCCCATCACTCGGCAGGGAGGAGAAGGAGCTGGAAGTCTCACCACTCCTCTATTCCCACTCAGGATCATTAAACTGGAAGCTTCCTGGAGGACTGGTTTGATTTGATTGAAAAGCATTCTGGAGGGCTTGGTTCATTCTGAGATCAGCATCCAGTGATCTCAAACACCTCTCCAAACGGTCAAATCCCAGAGAGCAGAAAGAACAGTTTTCTTTGTTCTTCTTCCTGCATCTTTTTCCATGAACAACCACTCAGGGATATGGATCAGAACAAATGTGCAGTCCCTTGCCCAAGCCCAAATCATGAACCTGCTTCAGAGTTAACAAAACGTGATGACCAGTCTGTTCCAGGAAGCACCTAGCTGAACTCACCAGACATGCAACCCTACGGTGCATGCTGCAGCCACTGCCCCTCCACTGACAGTCAGCAGTGGCAACAGGAAGGGATAGATCAGGAGCCACAAGTGCAAGAGATGGGGCAGGGGGTCTCAGTACAGACCAGAGATGCTCTGAGTTGCAACAGATGGCAATCCTGGCCCAAAACAGCTCACTTACCGGGAGTGGGAGACAAAGTCATACACAGGGATCTGGACTGTTTTCCCTTCAGTGATTTCTTTGAGTGTTTTGAAGATGAGTTCATTGTCAAAGGCATCTGAAGGAAATCAAACTGTTAAAATGTTTCTACATTTTAAAATGATTTCTCCTATAATTACGCACAGAGCATCCCCACAAAAGGTGCACCACAACCTAGAGAAGTGTATGGCATCCCCCAAAGCCAGATTTCCACACAAAGCAGAATGAAAGCTCCCTGTTTCTCAAAACAGGATGTGTGAATGAGTTCTAACAAACTCATTTCTTTTTTTCTCCTTTGACATTCCGTTGCTGGCCTCAGATAGCTCTGTGCTCTCTCCAAGTTCAACTGTTATCTTAGGATTACATGTTAACCTGGAAAGCACACTCATGACTGGGGAGTATAATAGACACTATGTCAAGAAGGTTTGGTTCCAGCAATTATAAGAAGCCCAACCAGCTAAAGGAGCAGTGTGCTGATCTGGGGCTCTCAGGGCAAAAACCACTCAGGCAGTCACCCTGAGCCCTCCATCTCCCTTCCTGCTGTCAGTGAGTTCAGCATATGTGCCATGTGCACCCATGTATGGGGTGGGGGAGAGCGTATGACACAGACTGCTTCAGATCAGAGGAGGCAGAAGGACCAGCTGTGAATGTTCAATCTAATATCTGGCCCATCTCAAGTCATAGGCTCACATGGAATCACCCTTGTTTAGACAAAGATTCAATCAGTATTTAATGAGCCAAGTGCTACATGAAGCATTTCAAAGTTCCTTCTTTTATATAATCCCCACAATAACTCTGTGAGGTAGTTATCTGTCCTCTATTTTATATTTATACATGGAAACAGACTCAGAGAGGTTAAGCAACTTCCTCATGGGCAAAACAAAATACTCTCACTAACCCCAATACGCATACACCCTTCATTTCCCAACTCACCCGGGTGATCAAAGTTGAACTGGCCCTTCAGGGCTTTGGCCTTCTGCTCTGAGGTGAGAACACGGTAGAAGCTATCCTGGCTCAGGATGACAACCTGCTTCTGGTGATAGTCCACCTCATTCTGTCCCAGAAGCTGCACAATCTTAGCACACACAGAAGACTGTAGGGAGAGAAGAAAACACCATGGAGTAAGAGAAAGAAGGCATATGTGGTAGAAGGGAGGGCCAGAGTCTCTGATCTGATGCATACCCCCTAAGAGAGGACTTTAGAAGTTAGAATCAGGGCCGAGCCCGTGGTGCACTCACGAGAGTGCGGTGCTGGGAGCGCAGTAGCGCTCCCGCCGCAGGTTCGGATCCTATATAGGGATGGCCGCTGCGCTCACTGGCTGAGCACGGTGCGGCCGGTCTCAAAAAAGAAAGAAAAAAAAGAAGAAGAAGAAGAAGAAGTTAGAATCCAAAGGCTATCATTTGTACGATGAATTAGAGGGCTAAGGGAGGAACAAAATACACCTGCTGACAGAAGTCTAGGGACCTCACAAGTTCCTCCCTTCCTCCCCTTAACACAACCTACTATACTCAGGTGTCTGCAGTGAAGGTGGGGGAGGATGGCAGTAAGTTCTACGTCCTCTTCTATAAAAGCCTTTCTCAAAGCCACTGATAAAAGGTAACACTGTCAGTTGGTTAGAGCGAGGTATTATAACACCAAGGTCAAGGGTTCAGATCCACGTATCAGTCAGCTGCAAAAAAAAAAAAAAAAGGGTAACACTAATTTATGCTTACTGCTTGTGCCCTGGTATAGATACTCAAAAAAGGAAGCAGTAAGTGGAACAAGGACACATTATGATGTGCTGACAAGCCAAAGGGTTTCAGGATCAGGAAATGACTGTGCATCCATGGGATGTCCCTCAGCCCCTGCACATCTCTTTCTGTCAACGAAATCAAAGACCACAGCCAGAGAGCTCAGCTGGTTAGCAGTAAGGCCAAGATCACAGCTTTGATCCTACTTCTGTTAGTTACTTTTGCTCTAGTCCATAGCCATGGTCTTCACCCTTAAAGTAAACCAGGTGGCCTTTGCACAAGTTTGCCACCACTTATGAAGTGGTGTGGGACACTAATATCAACAATACCTAAAACAACCTGGTGATATCTCAGCTAAGAGTAGAGAAGCCAGTTCCAAATGAACTCAAACCTACACGCTTTGTGTTGTGTTGTTAGTAATACATACCATCTACCTCTTTTCCTCACCAGTATATTCTTTGAAAAAGGAAAATTATAAAAACAAGTGAATTCAAAAGACTGAGGTAGTGAAGTATTGTATTCATCAAATAACTCATTCTTTTTTAATGATAAATTTAAAAATAGGAATATCTATATTACAAAAACTCTAGAAGCCATAACCCAAAGCCTGTTTATGTAGTTGGTTGACCTAATTATAAGACATGAAAAAAAAGAAGAGCATATTTAGAGGTTTCTTGGACTTGACCTTAGAAGACTTACTATTGAACTTATTTTACCAACTGATTTTAACAAAGAAAAACCACAAAATTTTTTCAAGTTACAATTCTTATAAAGTTGTGTATTTGATGTGTCCAAGTATAAGGGAAACTGGCCATTCCTTTTGCACTCCCCAATGCAAATTCCACAGTATGTCCTGTTATACAAGCTGTGACACACCACCAAATAAGGATCTTCGGAGGGGCAATAATATTTTGACTCTGTTAATTATTTGAAAACTATTTCTTCTACTTTCATGACACTTTTGCATATTAACATAGAAAAAGCATTTAAAACTACTTTGGTGGTGCTGATAACACCAAGGTCAAGGGTTCAGATCCCCTTACTGGTGAGCCACCAAGAAAACAAAATAAAATAAAACTACATTGGACTTATTGACTGCAGATTTGCTCCCACTCCCACCCCCCAAAAAATCACAGGAAGGCAAAAACTTGCACATGACTTAAACTAGATTCAAATATGAAAATGCTACAACAAAATCAAAGGCTCTATACATTTATAAACTATAAGTTTTTAAATGCCTGTAGACCCAAAATTTCCTTTCCCTAACTGGCATCTGTTTCTTACATTCTAAGGTTGTAGGAGAGTCTATACCCATAAGCCTTTACTCATACACAGAATTCCTTCTGGAAGTCCAAAGAAAAACAAAATGAAAAAGAGGGATTGTGGAACCAGTTGAATATAATCTATCTGGTTATTCAAACCATGGTATTTTTTTATTTATAGTTAAGACCTATTAAATGTTTTTAATGTAACCAGTAATCCCATCACCACTAAAAAAAAAAAAGCATATTTAAAAGTTGCACTACCCAATTTTGCAGACAATCATTTCCCTTAACCCAGGCAAAAACCTGAACAGAACCTGAGCAATGGCCAATAAAACTGGGTTAACGAACACACAGTAGGTGCAATTTTGAAAAATTAGTGCTTATCACAATTTCTCTTTTTGTTGTTTTGTTTTGGTTTTTAATTTTGTTTGTTTTGTTTTTTCTTATTTCTTTTAATCACAATCTTGATCAAGGATAAAGGAAGGCTATTTTCTTGGTCATAGTTGCATGTCTCTGTCCTGTGTTTTCAAAGACCTGGCTGGTGATCCTTCTTTTCTGCAAACACCACCACTGATAACAACAGCTGACACTGTAACTGATTACTGAGTAGGTGGCAGGTCATGCCAAATGCCCCATTACAACCACCCTTAGAAGTCACTTGTGCTCCTCTGTAGGTGGGGAAACCCAGTTAAATGACTTACCATACAGTCCTGGCTCCTCTTTACCTCAACCTAAAGGTAGAAAGAAATCCCCCAAGGCAGAAGAAACCCTTTATCACTCAGGAGGAGAGAAATACTACTACATGAATAAGCTGAGAAACACCTGCCTCTAATTTCATCTAGATTTTTCAGGTGTTTTCCTCCTACTAGACCATATTAGAAATGGGCCCTAAAAAATCTAGATAACTGTTGGATCTGGGTGACAGATACACAGGAGTTAGTTACACTATTCTCTCTAATTTTGTGTAGGTTTGAATTTTTTAGATGATAGGAAGGCAGGGAGGGAGACAGGAGCCCTACATGGGATCCACTCTGCCATGAGTATCTTTTCCTCACTTAATGCCCACCTTGTTAGATCTCTTCGCTTTCATTTCAGTGTTCCCCTTTTCCCTAATCCTGCTCCCCTCCCCCAAAGGATGAAATGGAGCTTTAAGGTATCCACCTTGTTTCCTTAAGAAAAGAAATAATTCCTCTAATTAGTGAATTAAGAATGCAGGAAAGCATGAACGAGCCTATAGAAAGCTAAAAATGGGACAGGATGCAATTGTGATGGTGGGCTAAGACTTAAAATAACTAAAATAACAAAAAGACAAATACTGTGTGGTTCCACTCACATGAGCTAGGTAAAGCAGTCAAATTCACAGAAGCAAAAAGTTGAATGGTGGTTGCCAGAGGCCAAGGAGACGGGGAAATGGGAGTTATTGTTTAATGGATGTAGTTTCAGTTTTATGTGATGGAAAGGTTCTGGAGATTGGGTGTCCAACAATGTGAATATACTCAGCACTATTGAAACATACACTTAAAAAAAAAAGAAACATACACTTAAAAATGGTTAAGGTGGTAAATTTTATGTAATGTGTATTTTACCAAGATATTATTTGTTATACAAAGAGCCTAGATTCTTTTTTTTTTTTCTTTTTTTGTTTTTTGCGACTGGCCAGTGCGGGCATCAGAACCTATGACCTTGGAGTTATAAGTGCTCTACCAACTGAGCTAACCAGCCAGCCCCTATATGGTATTTTGAAGATACTATCTCATTTAATTCCATTACAAGACATTATTTTGCCTTTTTTTCTCTAATGAGGAAATTGAAGCTTCAAGAATCAATCAAGTTACATGACTTGCTCATGGTCACAGAGCTGATTCTCAAACCACAGATCTTCTAACTCCAAATGCACAATTCTTTTCACTATTCCAGAACTGAAGGAGCTTTGTCATCCGCCAAAATGTTCTCCATAAATTTACTCCCCTTCTGGAGAACAATGATAGGGGAAGGGAGATAGGAAGGGAATTGGTTAGAAATATAATATTGTTTTGTCCCACTGTATCATTAAAAGCAACATTTATGTTAAAAGTTTCATACATCTAAAGATAGGCAAGTGATCTGTATATCAAAAATAAGGTAAAAGTCCACTTTAAAAAAAAAATCCAAAAAAACTGTTCTCAAAATTTTTATTATGCTCAAAATAATCCAGCTGTTAGCAGCCAATAACCACAGGGCTCAGAGTCCACCAGACATGCAGAACAATGAACTCTTTCCTCAGAGACTTCCCATTAGGGAAACCCCAAGAGCAGTCAACAGCTCATCAACAGGCCCCTCCAGTTGGCAGCTGTCAAGCCCGTGCAGCTTCCTGTACTGCTACAGACAGGATATTTCTCTAAACTCCTTTTCACATGGGAGGTGGCCCAGAGAGCCTAGACACCATCTTACTATGCAATTCCAAGTGTGTGTGTCTTCCAGGATCCCATTCTTAAGATCCTCTTGTCCAGTTCCAACACGGCTGGATGAGTAAAACAAAACAAATAGGGCAATAGAGCTCTCTTAGCCTCTTTGTCACCTCTGAACTGCTCAGGACTTGGATGGAGCCCACAGCTGGACACAGCTCAGAGCAGATCAGCCTGTGGGAGGGCTTCAGACTGGGCGTGTCCCTTGGGAAATGGGCTGGCATTTCTCACAGACAACCTTACAGAGGAGTACAGGCTAAGGGCCATCTGCCCAACATTTCTGCATCCCATCAAGTTGCCTGTCACACTCTGGGTGAGCTGCTTCAGAATAAGAGGGAGGGCCGTTCAGATGGAGGAAAACCACTTCGCTCTTCAGAATGGGTTGTGAACTTCAGTTAACACCTGCCCTGAACTCAATACCACAGCAGCTAATAGTGTAAGACAGCCAGATGCTTTACCTCCTCAGGCAGGAAGACCCCACTTAGCTCCTGGCCTCTGGGACTATATGCAAATCACATCAATCACTCTTGACAGCAGCTTTTCCTGTCACTAATGTTAAGAAGCACGCCACGAACTTACATGGCATCCATCTCAGAGGAATACCACCACAGCCCCCAGACATTACATCACTCCTTTGGGGGGCAACACTGCTCC